ACCAACAAAGTCATATTCCTAGATAGTCATGCTGAAATAGCAGCCACCATCTTACTCTCTATTATCATGTACTTGAACATCAATCCTACTGATACCCAGGTCACCCACCCACCTTTAGAACAATGACCACTGTTCCTAATCAATAATCTCTACAACCTGAGACGAGCTGCTGCATTTGCTCTTTCTCAGCTAATCATTGTTAAGATGGTCATGTTTTCTTTGAATACCACAGTATTTTTTATTTTACAGTTTTTGAGACACTACTTTATGCTAGGCTATCTGCCGGGCCATTTACATGCATTATCTCATTTAATGTTCGCATTAACATTTTTGTTGTTAAATCTCACCCAAGGATATTTTTTCCATTGAGTTTTAGAGAGAGTAAAAGGAGAAACATAAATGTGAGAGAGACATTGATTGGTTGCCTCCTGCACACGCTAAGACTGAGGCTGGGGATCAAGCCTGCAACTGAGGTACTTGCCCTTGACCAGAATTGAACCCACATCCTTTCACTCTGCAGCCCAATTCTCTAACCATTGAGCAAGCCAGCCTAGGACCCATTAACTTCCGAGGTAGTACCATTATTATTTCTGTAATATAAAACTGAAGCCCTAACCGGTTTGGCTCGGTGGACAGACCGTTGGCCTAAGGACTGAAAGGACCCAGGTTCAATTCCAGTCAAGGGCATGTACCTTGTATGCATGCACATCCCCAGTGGGAGGTGTGCAGGAGGCGGCTGATCACTGTTTCTCTCTCATCAATGTTTCTGACTCTCTATCCCTCTCCCTTCCTCTCTGTAAAAAATCAATGAAATATATATTTTTTCTAAAAACTGAAGCTTACAAATGACAAAATGTTTCTCCAAGATTAGAGGGCTAAAAAAGGGAAGAGCAAGGATTAGAACCAAGATGTATTTGATGCGGGCATGTGTTCTTAATTCTGGATGTCTTCAGAGAATGAGATGGATATTGGCATGACATGGGGCTTTGTAAGGTAGACTGGAACAAGGTATTGGGGGAAGTTCTTTTAGGCTATTTTGAGGACTATGTGCTTTAACCTAAGAACTATAGTATGCCAGGAGGGGTTTTAATGAGAGTGATATGATCAAACTATTTTTAATAGATTTGTCTGCAGTGTGACAACTGACAAAAGTAAGTGGTCAACACAGTAATCCAATTAGGAAGCTATTTCCATAGACCATGTCAAGTAGGTTATTGTGCACTGGATGAAGATGATGGAGCGGAAATGATTAAAGGAGTGAGATTCAAGGCATATTTAGGAGATAAAACCTATAGCTTTTGGCAAATGGCTGGACATGGAGGGTGAGGAAGAGGAGAGACTCAAGAAAGACTCCATAGCGTGAATTCTCTTGTGATGAGCCAAGTGTGCACGCTGCCTGAACGATTTCCTGCAGTCCTTACATTCATAGGGTCGCTCTCCAGTGTGAATTCTTTGATGCAGGGTAAGAGAGCCACTGTAGCTAAAGGCTTTCCCACACACGTTACATTCGTAAGGTTTCTCTCCAGTATGGATCCGCTGGTGCTGAGCAAGGCCTGCATTCTGGCTAAATGTTTTCCTGCACTCCTTACACATGTAAGGTTTCTCTCCCGTGTGACTCCGCTGGTGTTGTGCCAGCGACGAACTATTGCTGAAGGCCTTCCCACATTCAACGCATTCATAGGGTTTCTCTCCAGTATGGACCCTCTGGTGCTGATCAAGGTATGCGATCTGGCTGAAGGCTTTCCTACACACCTTACACTCATACGGTTTCTCTCCAGTGTGAACTCTCTGGTGCTGAGCCAGGTGCGCATACTGGCTGAAGGTCTTCCTGCATTCCTTACACTCGTAAGGTCTCTCTCCGGTGTGAATCCTCTGATGCACGATTAGGTAACCACGATGGCTAAAGGCTTTCCCACACACATTACATACGTAAGGTTTCTCCCCTGTATGAATTCGCTGATGTTGAGCAAGAAACGAACCGTTACTAAAGGCCTTTCCACACTCAATACATTCGAACGGTCTCTCTCCAGTGTGAACCCTCTGGTGTTGCGTTAGGTGTGCAATCTGGCTGAAGGCTCTCTTACACTCGTTACACTGGTAAGGTTTCTCTCCAGTGTGAACTCTCTGGTGCTGAGCGAGGTGTGCATTCTGGCTGAAGGCTTTCCTACATTCCTTACATTCGTAGGGCTTCTCCCCGGTGTGTATTCGCTTATGTTGAGCCAGGTTTGCACTCTGGCTGAAGGTTTTCCCACATTCAACACAGGCATAGGGTTTCTCCCCAGTATTAATCCTCTGGTGAAGAGTAAGGGATGAGCTCTGGTTGAAAACTTTCTCACACTCATTACATTTCAAAAGTTTCTTTTCTACATAGACTTTCTTAGGCTTCATGTCCACAGATTTTTTGCAGTATTTTCTCTTCTGTGGCTCATGCTTACGTGTTCTTTCTTTGGTGGGAAAACCCTGTTTTATAGAAAATATTGCATCCTGATGGAAAGTTTGCCAAGATTTAGTACATTCACTACTTTGATCTTCAGTAAGGATTTCCTTATGCGTGATGATCAGTTGACTAGGATGTACCTCCTTACTTTGCAACTTGTTGTTAAACCAGTCCCCACTTTCATAGTCTTCTATCAAACTGGGGCAGTCAAGGCTGTAACTAAGATGGCTTCTTCCTGTTGTCACTACTTTGGATGATTCTTCATAAATAACTTGCTTTGATGAAAATTCACTGTTTTTAAATGCATACTCCCAATCTAAAAGATAGTAAGAAAATAGTGTGTGTTTATGCAGAAGAAAAGAACTTTTAAAACAAAAATCAGTGAATAAATATGTAAGAACTTAAGAGGGTTGATTAAAACATAAATTACAAGTGGTACAATTCAACATTGTACAGGAGACCCAAGGTATTATAATAAATCAAGAAAAACAAGGCATAAGGATCAGACAGGAAGAAAGAAAACTGTATTGGCAGATAATATGATTGTCTCTGCAGAAAATGCTCAACTACTAGATGAATCTAGCAAGGTTGTTAGTTCATATAAAAATCACTTTACATTCTTATATACTAGCAGCAAACAACTGGAAGATGGGAGTTTTTAAGAATTCTATTTATAATAATAGCACACAAAAATAAGACTCAAAAAAATGTTTTTTAAAATTTTTAAACCACTACACTGGATGACTATAAAATATTGCTAAGAGAAAGAAAACTTTAACAAATGGCTAAAGGAACCATACTCATGAACTGGAAAACTCCATGATATTAGGATGTCAGTTCTTCCCCAAGTTGATGTAGATGTATCATAATCCTAAATGAAATCCCAGCAGGCTTTTTGAATAGATTATCTGATATCTAAATTTACTAAAAAGCTACAGGTATCAAGAAGGTATGGTACTGGTGAAAGGGTAGATGTAGATCAATGGAACAGAACAGAGTTCAGAACTAGACTTCTGCATTTATGTTCAACTGCTTTTCAACAAGGGTACCAACAAATCAATATAATGGAGAAAGGAAAGTCTTTACAACAAAGAGTCCTGGAATAACTGAACATCCGAAGGGGGGAAAAATGAACCTCAATATTTATCTCACCCAAGAAATTAGCTCAATGGATCATTACCCAAATGTAAAAATTAAAATAGAATGTTCCTAGAGGGGAAAAAATAGAAGAATATGTTGGTGACCTGGGGGTAGCAAGAATTTCTTAGAGATGGCACAAAAGCACCAATCAAGATAAATAAATTGAACTTTATAAAAATGGAAAACTTTGAATGTTCAAAAAACAGCAGTAGAAAAACAAGAATGCCAAACCACAATTCGCATACGTATATCACAATACATACAAATGACACAGGACTTGTTCTAAGACCGTCTAAAGAAAGAACTCTTACAACTCAATAAGAAGAAAACCCACTGAAAACCTGGGCAAAAAATTGAACACTTCACAAAAGATACATGAGTGGCCAATACGTTCATGAAAAGATGCTCAACATTGTTAGTAAAATAATGAAAAAAGAAATGAATCAATCCTTCAACCAAAAAGAAATGAGTGGCAAAAGGGAAAGTAGAGGCATTGTTGTGTCTGGATATTTTCATGTGTTGGAACGACGTGTGCAAAACTCAAAGGCGAGGACAAGGAGACCCTGTGAGAGAATGTATACAAGGAGAGTAAGTTGGAGAGCTCATGCTAAAAGATGCTTCAATGTGTGTCCCAGGCCTGGAGCCTTTAAGGAAGCCACCCAGACAATACGCGTGGCGAGCTGGACCCTTCAGAAGGGCGAAGCTCGGTTTTCTTGCAGTGGCCTCTACCTCCCTAGTTCTCTCTCACTCACCAGAGCATGTGCCTTCTGTCCTGGCCTTCGTTGCCATCCAGGGCTCTCTTCCTTGCTCCAGAAGTGAGATCACCTCTGGCTTCGAAACGGAAACTCCTGCGTAGAAGAAATAAAGGGGAAATTAGCCAGGCCCTGAAATCAGATCAAGCCCTTGGGTCTCAGGAGGTGGGGGCATTAGAGAGAGTGAAGGAAGAGGGAGTGTTTTGAAGAAAGAGGAAGTTGTAGGGATAGTCTAATGAAGCTGCCAATTCTACAAAACTTGGCCTATTTTGGGGAGCAGCAGGAAGAGAAATGCAGCAACATATATCCGAGGCTCCCCAAACATGTGAGGGAGCAGCCCTCTGGGGAGATTCTGAATTACAGGGAGATCTTACCCAGCGATTCCAGGTTCCTGTAGTTCTCCAACATCACCTTCCTGTACAAATTCCTCTGAGCAAGATTTAGCCATTCCCACTCGTCTTGAGAGAAATCTATAGCCACATCCCCAAATGTCACCAAATCCTGAAATGACATAAACATATTTTTGTCCAACTGGTGTTCTTACCCTCACACGGGTGTAGTGTGAAGAGCTAAATCACTTTACTGCTGGGAGAAAAATATTACAAAGAGTGAAATTTCCTGGTAGCATCTTAGGTTCTGAGCAACACATGTCAAGTAACAGCTGGATGACTTCCCTGTGCTTAGTGTTGATGCTGCCACGCTAAGTGTACGATTTCATAGTCTCTACTGACGGAGAAAAGACTTGTCATACGCAAAAATGGGCAATAACAACACTCAACAGTCAAGTGTAAAATAATATGTTTTTCATACTAAATGCTAGGGCATTTCTCAATATGGAAAATCAAGATAGACTGTGGAAGTAAAGAAAGGCTTCGGGGGCAAGACAGGAACATGAGTTTAGCCTTCCAAGATGTATATGGTCTAAACCAGCATTTCCCCAAACTCTACAGTGGAATGTTCCAGATATATCTATATATACATCCCATATATACACATACATATCCTATCCTATTAATGCTTATAATTTTGATTTTCTAAAATTAAATAGATATGTAATAAAATAGTAAACAAGTTTTATAGTCATTTTGCAAAAATATAACTTAAACCAATGGACGCCATCACAGAGAACAAGCAGAGGCAACAAAAGATTCCCTAACAGCATTTGATAATCCCACTGAGTCTCAAAGACAATTGGTAACCTATCTGCTACCTCAGAGACAAGAGTAATTCTAAGCTCTGCTAATGAACTTAAATAGTGAAGGTTTCCAATGTGATCATGAAGTGCATAAAAAACACCCACAGCTCTCGCTGGAGGGGCGCACACAGCTTCCCAAGAGCGAGAGAGTTTTGAATGTTTCAGGACAGCTGGCTCGGCTTCTGCATGTTGAATTAAGGATCATTTTTAAAATATATATATATTATTGATTTTTTACAGAGGAAGGGAGAGGGAGAGTGAGAAACATCGATCAGCTGCCTCTTGCACACTACCCACTTGATTGTGCCCGCAACCAAGGTGCATGCCCTTGACCGGAATCGAACCCGGGACCCTTCAGTCTGCAGGCCGACGCTCTATCCACTGAGCCAAACCTGTTAGAGCAAGGATCTTCTTTATAACATGGGACAAGACCTGGTATGTTTCCTAAAAATTCAAAACGTACATCCTTCCTAAGAGACGTACCTGCTCCAGCCTTACCAGGGCTGGCTGCTGGTCTCAACATGCCCCTTAGGTGTGGCATGTCACAGCCATGCCCGCTCTTAGCTGGGCTGACGGACGGATAGCACTCAATGGGGCGCATCTGGACTGAGCTGGCTGGTCAGGTGCTGATGGACCACCACACAGGTCAGTACCGAGCCCTGTTGGCGCCCGTGCCAGATCTCCCCTCAGTCCAGCAATGGACGGGAAGGCCCAACATGGTAGCGACCTCGGGGACCCCAGAGGAGTAAATTCTGGGGTGTTTCCGGTATTGGTGGTTGTCAAATACAAACCTCACTCCTGTTTTTCCCATAATGCTCCCACTGAAGATGTATTCCAGCACATCAGTGATTTTACACAAACATGGAAAAAAATGAGTCGATATATGAGCCGCTACTGCCTGGGACATGGACAGGAATGTTAAGCAGCCTATAAGGGAAATGAACGTATGACTCCAAGCAACATACATGCACCAGCTCCCATCTCTACGACGCTTCATAACCAGGGAGATCGGGGAGTGAGGGAGGCTTTAGGGAGGGAGGGAACACAAGTCGGGTCCGAAAAGATGAATCTTGTGCTAGACAGTGTGGGCCCTGTCAACCAGCATCTCCATAAAACTCAGACTTTTGATACAAACTCTTCAAAATTTTGTGCAAAAAAAACCCTGTTCCTCACACGTCATTTCTTGTGTAGATGGCGGTGAGCTGAGGTAGGTTTTGCTAGATAAAATTCTTAGGAGACGTTTTTACGCTGCACATACAAACTCACGGATTCCAGGTTTCAGGGGTCCTACTGACATCTTTCTCCTGGCCAATGAGACCTGACAGCCTTTCAAATATTTTTACATTTATCTTGATGTGATAAAGCAATTTTTGCACAATTTTGTCATCATTAAGGACACTTAGAAAATAATATTCAGTATTTCTACCTTCAGTGAATTTTTTCCCTTTTTAAGTTCAAGAATTGGAAGTCCTCCAGCCCACACACACACCAACTCACTGTGTCACTCTAGAAGCCATCAAAAATTACAGTTACTAGTTTTGCCGGATGGATAATATTATAAGGTATATACATGCCATATCTTATTTACCAAAACTTGATAATCTTCAGTTTTTTGAACCTTCATTTTTCACTCTGATGCTGCACTGTCTCTATTTTCTTAAGATAATTTCTAGACTTTCTCTCTCCATTGAATTAGGATTTCCCAAAATTACTTAACCTCAGAAAGAAATTTTAACTGACCCTATTGTGACCCAGCAAGAATAGGAGCTAATGAGAAACTGTTCAGGCCAGGAGTCAAGTATTGACCTGCACGCAAAGAAATACCCATAGGGCAGCGGTTCTCAACCTGTAGGTCGCGTCCTCTTTGACAATCAAACGACCCTTTCACAGGGGTCGCCTAAGACCATCCTGCATATCAGATATTTACATTACGATTCATGACAGCAGCAACATGACAGTGATGAAGTAGCAACGAAAATAATTTTATGGTTGGGTCACAACATGAAGAACTGTATTTAAAGGGCCAGAAGGTTGAGAACCACTGCCATAGGGGTTCTTCGGGGAGAAGATGGAAGTGGAAGTATAAACACAGGAAGAAGTTACGAGCCCCAAGGAGTGACTGTAAACCATGTATAACATGTACTAGTCAGATATCCTGGAGTAAATCCACGGTCGGGGACCTGCCTTGTTCGGGAAGTGGAATGCACTAATTATAGGACAGTGATGGTGAACCTTTTGAGCTTGGCGTGTCAGCATTTTGAAAAACCCTAACTTAACTCTGGTGCCATGTCACAAATTTTTTGATATTTGCAACCATAGTAAAACAAAGACTTATATTTTTGATATTTATTTTATATATTTAAATGCCATTTAACAAAGAAAAATCAACCAAAAAAATGAGTTCACAAGTTCGCCATCACTGATCTAGGGGGAGCGAATGCAAAGATTCTGAGACAGGGAAGAGCCCAGGACGTCTAAGCAAGAGTAAGTGGCCAGTGTGGCTGGAGCGGAGACGCACACATGCAGGATGAGGTCTGGGAGCGCTGGGGCTGGGTCACAGAGGGCCCTGCAGGTCCGGATAAGGACACTGGGATCTCATTCCAAGTGGAGCGGGGGTCAGTGACAGTCTGGGAACAGGAATGAGATGAGTGCTCGGTCGTCACGGTGGGCACACGGCTCCACGGTGTCCTCCTCCCTCCACCCTCTTCAGCTCCTCATGCCCCATCATCCATGTTCCTGACCCTCAGCGTACATGACCGCTCCCTACAGCCGCACAGTCGCTAACCAGTGACAGGGACACGGGCTTTCCTCCCTGGCGCTCTCTTTCCTCGTCTGTGCAGTGAGAGATTTGGACACGCTCGCCCTCCACTTTCTTCCTGGCTGTACCGTTTCTTGAGCCTGGATCTGTGCTGTCCAACACACCAGCTGCTCACTGCGTGTCGCTATTTACATGTTGGTCAGTTAACATTGAGAGTCCAGGTCCTCAGTCACACCAGGACATACAAGTGCCCCGCAGCCACGGGGAGCACCTTTCTAGTCGGTCACCCCAGGAAGTGCCACTGGACAGCGCTGACTCGTCCTTTTGGCCCAGCTTCCTCTTTCCAACCTGTTCTCTATGTTTTCCCTTAGCAGTTTGCATGGTTTTATGGTTTAGATTTAACCTATACATTGTAAGGAAGAAATTTAGTTATTTATTTTTAAATATATTTTTATTGATTTCAGGGAGGGAGAGGGAGAAATAGAAACATCAATGATGAGAGAGAATCATGGATCGGCTGCTTCCTGCACGCCCCCCACTGGGGATCGAGCCCACAACCCAGGCCTGTGCCCTTGACCGGAATCGAACCCGGGACCCTGCAGGCCTTTTGTCCGGCCGCAGCGGAGAAGCCAAGTCTCTTCAGTCTTCACTCCAGCCAGCCTCTGCTCCGCGTCTGCTTATGCAAAGTAATCACCGTCTTTGTTGGGTTGATTTGCATACTCATCCTCATTGGCTGGTGGGCGTAGCGGAGTGACACCAACTTGCATGTCTCTCTTTTATTAGTGTAGCTTTGCACAACCACTTCATTGTACTGATGGGGTGGTCATAATAATCTGGCCACTCGGTGTACAGTAAACAAACTATAATCATGGACACGTGGCCTCCTGAGAGCCATAGGCGGCACTGAACTATTTCTTGGATAAAGATGAAAATGCTGAGAAAAAGGGGATGCTCACTGGGCTTCGGGGGACCCCCTGACACTGGATTGGAGGATAGGAGGGCCAGGTCCCTCATGGAGGGGACGCTGGTAGGCTGGTGAGTCTCAGGAGAAACCAGACTGTTCGCACACAGCCTGACAAGCAGTGCATGCCTGGGAGGGGAGGAGAGATGCTTCTTACCTGGGACATGGCTTTTGGAGCCTGAGGAGGGATGGCAGCGCTTCCGGCCCCTCCCTCAGGCTCCTCTCCCACAGAGGCGCAGTGTCTGGGGAAAGGCGAGCTGCAGAGGGAGAAAGGGACCCTGTGTCACCGGCCTGGACAGCCCCTCCCCCGCCCCAAACCGCAGACGCAGATGATGGGTACCCTGAATCAGTCGCTCCCACGCGTACAACTCTTTTCCCCTGTACTTTGTTTATTTTTTAAAAAAATATATTTTATTGATTTTTTACAGAGAGGGATAGAGTTAGAAACATCGATGAGAGAAACATCGATCCCAGACTGTTCGCACACAGCCTGACAAGCAGTGCACGCCTGGGAGGGGAGGAGAGATGCTCCTTACCTGGGACATGGCTTTTGGAGCCTGAGGACGGATGGCGGCGCTTCCGGCCCCTCCCTCAGGCTCCTCTCCGGCAGAGGCGCAGTGTCTGGGGAAAGGCGAGCTGTGGAGGGAGAAAGGGACCCTGTGTCACCCGCCTGGACAGCCCCTCCCTGGCCCCCCACCGCAGACGCAGATGAGGGGTACCCTGAATCAGTCGCTCCCACACATACAACTCTTTTCCCCTGCGCTTTATTTATTTTTTTAAGAATATATTTTATTGATTTTATCATTTTTAAAAAAGAGTTGTTTGCCACTAACCCCTCCGCCTTGGAAGGTAAGGCCGCTCACTGAGCGGTCAGAACCGGGTTAGGAGTCACAGTGCCTCCCACCCCTGTGAGCACCGCCCCTC